GCCGGGGAGAGGTCATGGTCCTTGTCTATCTTGTTTGCCTGGACCTTGGTCAGATTGGCAAGTTTTGTGGCCAGGGATGGTTCCTAGGCGTGGGTCACACAACAGCCCAGGTGCTGCTGGGAAGGTCTTTGTTTTGTTTTTAACACACACACACACACACACACACACACACACACACAGGAGTCAAGGTGCCTGCAGAGGCTAGACACATTAGAACCCTGGAGCTGTAGTTACAGGCAGTTATGAGCTGCCTGATGTGGGTGCTGAGAACCAAATTCAGCTCCATCTAGGAGAGTAGTATAGCTCTTAACTTATTTTTGGATGAGATTAATGACTACATTGGCAGACCCAGTAAAATGGAAGACTGTGCTGTGTGAGAGCTTTGCTGTAGCTAAGAAAGTCTCGACTGGAGGAGCTTTCATCCAGAAGTGCCAAGTTCTAGCTTTATCTTGTCCCCACATCTGCTGGCCTGCCACCTGGCCTGATCCCAAGAGACCTAAACATCCCTTATTTTAGATCCTGTTGATCCTGTTACCCTGGCAAGCTCTGACTACTGAGGGTGACCCTCCTGGGGCCTCAGTTTCCCCTTCCTTCAGTGAGGGATGCCAACCCTCACATGCTTATGGATGGGCCTTTCACCTAGCTGAGGCAGCTTCTGTGATCAGGCAGAGAGCCAAGGCTCACATCTCCCTTCCAGCCCAGAAAATAAGATTCTTACTGAAAACCAAAACTCTGTCCCTGTTAAGTGCTGACTTGTCATCTCCTCCCCAAAGAGTTCTGGCAGCCCTGTTTGATTTGCCATCTCTGGAGTTCAGTCCTCCTACGAGTAGAACTACAGTTTGTCTTTTCATGCAGACAGGTTACTTCCCTGAGCTCTCTGTTAAGATTCATCCATGGTGTGGCATGCGCCAGAATTTCCTTTCCTCTCAAGGCTAATTGTATGGGTGGAATATATCTGGTTCATCCACTCATTCCTTGATGGACATACAGGCTGCTCCCATTTCTTCACTCTTGTGAATGTGGAACAAAAGCTTTCCTTCTTTGAGTGTGTGGCTGAAGAACAATCCACCTGTGTAGATTTGATTCTGGGAGGGCAGGCCTGTGGTGTACTTATGCCCACCAGGCATGCCTGGGTGCTTGCTACCGGGTAGCAGTCCTCTCTGGCCATACTCTGGGGCCAGGTTTCTGGAGGTTGGACAAATGCAGGCCATCCTGTTTGTGAGAAGGAGAGCCTGGCCATGCCAGAGACAATAAGGTCTATCCTATGGCTGGAGAGAGATGGCTCCGGAGTTAACAATGCTTACTGTTCTTGCAGAGGACAAAGGTTCAGTTCCTAGCTCTTACACCAGGTGGCTCACAACTGCCTGAAACTCTAGCTCTAACAAATGCTGTCAATTTTTCATGGACACTTGCGCACCAATGGTGCACATAACTCATGAACACACACAGAGCTTTACAAACTTTTAAAGGCTAGGCTAGGTGTGGTATTGCACATCTTTAATCCCATCACTCTGGAAGCAGAGGCAGCCAGATCTGAGTTCCAGGCCAGCCAGGGTTACATGGGAGACCTGTCTCAAACTAAACTGAACTGTGAATCTATTCAAAAAGGGAAGCAACAGTGCTCCAAGTGGCCCCAGTTATTGGGACCAATGTCCTATTGTTGCAGAGCCTTGATGGGTTGATTGTCCCCTGCAGGAATTTCTTGAACTCTTAAAAAATCGAGAGCTCCCCTAATGCTAAGGGGCTCCACCCACACCGGTCCACTGAGCTTGTATAACAGGCTCAGCCTCTAATCCTCACATGAATCTAGGTGCCAGTCCCACCTTCCACAGCTAGAGGGCGGACTTCTGGCAGATCCCCACTGCTTCTCTCGCCTCCTCCATCCAACAGGACCAGACCCTAGTTGTCTAAATCAGAGGTCCTTGTGCACCTCTGCAGACAGTTAGGGAGGGCATTGGTACCCGGGAGGCAGAGAGCGTAGAGGAAAGGCAAGAAACCCTTTGGGTTGGGCCTCAGCGTGGGTGGCAAGTAGCTTGGACGCCTGGGTCCTGCTCCCCTGGGGTCAGATCTGGTTTGTGGCATAGGGGCCACATCAAGAGCCTAGCTGAGGCTGCAGCCTCTGCCAGAGATTAGGGACACCACAGTGGGAGGCAGTAGGCGCAGGGTCTGAGCCAGGCGGTGACACAGGTGCTTGGGGCAGGGCGAGCAGACGGAAAAAATGAGTGCGGGGAGGTGCAGCTGCCGCTTTACGGGAAAGCGGATGTGAAGTGCTGACTGGTCCCTGCTGCTCTCAGTTCTTATCTGAACAGGGTTGTCACCACCGGATGGCCTGGCCCAGAAGAGCCCAGAGCCAGACAGAAGGTTCAGAGAACGGTTGAGAGAACGACCACTTCCTCCCGCCTGCTGTGCCTCCTCCTCTTCCTCCCCTTCTCCAATCTCTCTCTGTCTCTGTCTTCCTCTTTCACTCTCTCCCTCCCTCCCTTCCTGCTTGTGCTCTGCATGTCTTCTGTATTCTTTGAACTCATGACAATGTTATTGTAACAACATATTCAAGGTGTATTAATCAGATTTTAATTTTGGTGTTTTTTGATGCCCACACGGCTCCCTTATCATATTGGTACAACCCTAACTTGGTTCTTTGCCCTCAGACACAATGAGTTGCCAGTCACCCCTACCGCACCCTGTGCTGAGTCTGCTCAAGTTGTTGAGACTTGCCCTACTGATGGGGACAAGAGGACTTGGGTCAGTTTAGATCTCTATGGGTGGGCTTGGATAGTTGCAGACCCAGCACTGACTGTCCTTTGTGTCCCTCATTCACAGTGTTCCATAGAAAACAGAAGGGTAAATGTGGGTGCTAGAAGCTTGGTGTCTTCTGCTGCCATAGAGAGGGGCTGCTCCCCTCCAGATCAGCCAAGCTGTCCTTGCTTTCAAACGTTTGTGTTTAGCAGGTGTGGTTTTAACTTGTATTTTTGTGATTATGAATAAAACTGACTGCTCTTTCATTGTTTAGGGTATATGTGAGTGTGCATGTGTATATGAAAGTGTGAACTGCATGTGGAACACGCATTCATGCACACTATATACACATACACATGGATATATGAACAACCCATGCCTGAACATACACATTGTGTATGCATGTGCACTCACATAAATACAGGGTACAAGCACACTTGTATAAACATTGCTGTATGTGCGCTAGCATATTTTGGCGAACTGATGATTACATCTCCTGCCAGCTTTTCTGTTGTACTTGGATTTTCTCCTTTCCAGACTTTTAGATCTTCATCTCAATTGTATTTTAGATTTAACTTAATTTTGGATGTAACTGTAGATCTTTTGCGTGATAGTAAAAATGTTTGCTTATGATATTTTTCACCATGTTGAGGCTTTTGCCTTCTACTTTTTCTGAGCCACAATGTTCATCTTACTCTGAATTGTTCCTTGACAATTGTTCTCTAATAGCTAGGGTTTGTCTCATATTCATGCTGTTTGGGAACACCTCACCTGCTTGAGCTTCTTGCAGGTTTCCTCTCCATACTCTGCTGGGTTTGGGAGTATGCAGGTGTGTTGCATGTGGTGGCAATCTGGTTAGCACCAAACAGGAAGTCCCCTCTCGAAGGGACCACAGGTTGCTCTTCTCTGGTCCCAGCATAAGCAGGGGGCCTCCTTTCACTCTTCCTTCATGGTTATCTCTGCTGCTTCCTTGTCCACTTTCCTACATACATTATAGTTCTATAGATGAAACTTTTGTTAAAAATCAGAATGATGTTGAATTTATAGATCAAACAGGAAGTGCTGCCATGCCCATGGTATAGGGCCATTGTGAGCAGAACCCCATGTCCTGTGGGGAGGCATGCCTGTGCCCTGCTTCTCCTGCAGCCATCTCACATACTTCTAAATCAGTGGTTCTCAACCTGTGGATTGCGACCCCCACAAGGATCATGTATTAGGTATCCTGTAAATCAGACATTTACATTATGATTCATAACTGTAGCAAAATTACAGTTATGAAGTTGCAATGAAATAATTTTATGTTTGTGGGTCGATACAATCTGAGGGTCGCAGTTAGGAAGGTTGGGAACTGCTGTAAGTAATACCTCATCCCCAGCTGTGGTCGTGGGAACAGACAAGAACTTAAACCGTCTGCTACCCAAGAGGGCTTCTTGAACAGTAAAAGGCTTCTCATTTCTTGACGTTCACCATATTTTCACCAGCTGTGTGACCAGGGTTCTTTTTTTAGAACCTGTAAGTTTTTCCAGTGCCCTGGCTTACTCTCCTCAGATGCTGCCTGTCCAGCCCAAGGCACCTCTTTCTCCCTTGCTCAGTATGAAGTGACAGCAGTAAACTCAGGAGGGACTTGAAGGGCTAGAGAGTGGGTGGGTAGCACCCAGAGGCCCTGGGCCAGGCTTTCTGTTCTCTAGACAGAAGTTTCCTTCCTCTGTGGTCAAAAGTCAAGACCCCAGGATAGTGATGGGTTGGGAACAAGTTTATCTTTTTATTCAGTGTCCTATTCTGTACTCTGGGGAGGGACCCACAGGTACAGGCTCTCATAACCAGATAGACTCCATCTACCCTACTGAGATGGCTCCAAGCACATGGCTTCAACCCTGCCTGGAAAAACACATAGAGGACATGGGGGACACAGGCATAGTAGCCCAGGGTACCTTCCTGCTGGGATGTGGCTGTGGGAGTCTGAGAGGGCTGGAGAGGGGAACGTGCCTCTTTCTCAGTATCTGCCCTTGAGATCTTTTGCATCTGAGTGGTGACATGTAAGAGTGGGGATGAGGCTAGGGCAGTGACAGTGTATCTCAGTGATGGCAAGGACTGACTCAAGCTGGGCCTGAAGAGGGTGGTGCCCTGTGCTACTTCGCCTAGAGCCTCAGCCTGGCCCTGCAGCCATTCCTCTACTGCCCCTGCCCCAACACCACCAGAAATAGAACAGAACTTCTTTAGAGATTTTGTTGTCATTTAATTATAACAGGCTTGAACCAAAGGAAAGGGACCCCTAAGCCCTGGTCATTTTGGGTGTCCACCAGATAGCTAGGCTCTTGTTACCTCAACTGTCTTAAGTGTCAAGGGAACCCTTAAAATAGTTGTCCATTTCAGGGCCCTGCAGTGTAAATGGAATCCAGAACTGGACTCTAGGAAAGAATGAATGAGTGGATCCTAACACCTGAATTACTGCCCACAATGGTCACAGCTGGTATGAGTCAAAGCTATGTGTCCCCCTTTCCCTTCCTTGCTGCTGACATAGACCTTGTCCTCTTGGTTCCTAGGGGAAAGTAGGGAGAGTCAAGTGCCTCACCAGAGATGTGGGTGGGTCTCTAGCTCTACTGGTTCCTTTTACTGCCTTAGTTTCCCTGCTGTAGAAAAAGCACATACCTGGGCAAACAGGAGGACAGGGGGACTCTCACAGAGCTTTTGCCTGGTGAATACTCATACTTCCTCTGAAGATAGGAGATTTTACAGCCTTCACCAAACCTTCTCAAGGTCTTGGGGATGAGTTCAGGGTCATTATGTCCCCCAGCCTATGATTTTCCCACCTGAGTATCTTTCAAGAGCATCTTTATGTGCTATGCTTACTGTGTCCCTGGATGGACCTCCTTGTTATGGGGTTGCCTCACAAGGCTACTTAAAGTCAGTCTCTAATCAGGTTCCCCATTTCCAGGCACAGGATTCCCAGAGGCCATAGGCTATAGTGTCTCAAGCCCCTAGCAGTACCCAGCCACAGGATTCAGGAAATACTGCCTCAGACCAGCTCTGTATCTTGGGACATTAGGGAACAGGGATACCTGCTGCCTCTAGCTTTTGGTAATCAATAGAGTACTGTCACTCAACAATGCATGAATTGGAACTGGTCCAAGTTTTGGGTTGTCACTCCAGGTAGCTCAGGCCCTGGGAGTCTGTGTTGCATTGTAGCCTGCATGTTCCTCTTGATAGAGGAAGGGACCTGTGCTCTCTATGAAGGGTCCGTGGGATGCTAATGGTTGCAGGATCTGGTCAAAGGGGCCAAGAACAGTGTCCATCCTCATGCCTTGGAGGCCTGGGACCCTGCAGGCCATCAGCTGAGCCCCTACGCCCTAAGGATGAGGTGCCCATCCCTTCAGCAAAGACAATGGTGGCGTATTCTGTGTGCACACAGGAGGTAGGGAGCTCTGGAGTCTTCTGTCGTCCCTGGAACTCCAACTCCTCATAGGCCACACTGAAGACAGGTGGTGCTGAAGGGTTCTCCTTTGAGGGGAGAAGAAGAATCATTGGTGAAGTCAGTTGGGGTACATCCCTTAACCTTCCCTATTCTGGGTTTCCAGACTATCACTGGATTTGGGGTTCTTGACAGAGCAAGTGCACCTCAACCATCAAAGGGACCTAACAGCGGTCCCTTCTCCCTTCTCCCCTCTGCCCTCCGTGAGACTTCGGGTGTAGCCCCTTGCTTCTGGCTCGGTCTATCCTCTGTTTCCTAGCCACCTTGCAGGTTTAGGATTCCAAAATGTGACTCTCACACCTTGTCTCTGCTCAGAATAGAATAAGCAGTGACCATTCTGGCCAGGACAGGGCTATTCACTCTGGGCTCAGTGGTTGGGATATGGCTCTGGCGTCCTGGTGGGAAGCATGAGCTATGTCTCCAAGGCTTCAGCTCTGTAGGCCCCATGCTCCCTCTGCCTGTATCAAGCACTGGGCGTAGACTGCATGGGGATAGACTCTGATGGATCACTCAAGGAAGGAAACCCACACTTACCAGAGGCTCCTCTTTGCTTCCAGCTCCTCTGGTCTCTGTTGAGAAACACATTTTCATTTAGAAGACAGCTGCTGAGCCATCTTCCCTGGTGGAGGGGAATGTCTTAGCTGTGTGTGTGTACTTGGAGTGGGGGGAGGGGGTTCAGGCCCTGAAGAGATCTAGATTATGGGCAGGCACAGACTTTCTATTCTCACATTATGTCCTTCCCATTTAGTAACTGGGAGTTCCCAGTTGGCCTATGATTGTGCAATATGGGCCTGCTGCAGGTACAGATGTATCAGTGCCCTCTTCCCTGGTGCCTCACATGGTAGGCATGCAGTAGACATTATGTGTGGCCTTTAGGTGGCCGACGACCAGACTTAGCTACGGGGATCCTAGAGATGGCAGTGTAGGGATGGCCCATTTGTGACAGGGACCTGAATGTGGACTTAGACCTTCCTTCCAGACATAGAAACAGCAACTCTCAACAGTTGTTTAGAAAAACTATTGTCCTGGGGCAAGATGTGGTTGGGTGACCACAGGCTATTGTAGTGGTTAAGGTATATGTAAAGTTTGATGACCCTTCTGGTGACCACAAGTTCTCTTGGTGGTCAAAGTTTGTGTGAAGTATGGTGACTACAAACAAGATTTCATGATAGTCAAGAGCCCTGGGGAGGGGAGGGGAGGGGAGGGGAGGGGAGGATGCAGTGTTAGAAGGAGGCATAGTGGGTGGAGAATGGCCAGCAGGACTGTTTGCAGGGCCTGCGGCTTTGGTTTTGGTGAGACAGAAGTGGGATTATGATGAGCTTTACCTGAGATACCTGTTGAGCAGAAGGCAGCTAGGACCCAGACTAGCAGCAGCAACAGGGGCACACCCACCAGGACACTCATGATACCGATGACCAAGCCTTGAAACTGGCCTGGTGTTCTGGGTGATGGGCTGGGATATCTTGTTGCGGTCTCCAGGATTCTCTCTACAGGATCACAAAGAATAGAGTTCTAGGACACCAACAGTGTGTTCTCTTTAGGAGCACCCCATCCTACCCTCTCCAAGTCCCAAGGGCCATCTACATGGGATGGGCAGAGACTGGGCCCCCACCCACCCACCTTCCCTTAAAGATAAATGGGTATCTGAGGATTTCCACAGAGAGGGACAGGGTCCTCAAGGTTCTAGACAGCACGGATGGGAGCCTAGCAGGTCCCTGCATAGAAGGGGGGGGTCTCCTCCTTGGGCTTTTTTAGCGCCACCTGTTACCACGAGCTCTGCTCCAGGGCTCTCCTTGATTTGTATCTTGTGGGGCAAGGAGATGGCCCCACAGAGGTAGATGCCACTGTCATTGCGCCGTGTGTCAAGGATGTTCATGTGGAACTCATGCCCATTGGGCAGCTGTGTGATCTGGAAGCGTGCATCCTGGACGGGCTGGCTGGAACCCTTGCAGAAGGCAGCCTGTTTTTCAGTCTGGTTTCTGGGGCTCAGGCGGTACCAGTTTAGCATAAGGTCCTCAGACCAGTTGGAGAAACTGCAGGTGAAGGTGGCATTTGCTCCCTCTGACACTGTGAGCCAGGCTGGGGAAAAGGTGAGGGGCTTCCAGGGCTCGTTGGGGACCTCTGAGATGGAAGAAAACAAATAGCTGTGAGGAAGGGGTTTGTGCACCCTTTCTGACATTTTCTGAAATCCCTGGGGAGAGAAATGGTTCTTTCAGACCCACCCTAGGGCAGAATCTCCTAAGCAGTTCCTCCACCAAGGAGCCTGTAGCATCTTGAAGGTTGTAGATATGTGACAAACAGGGCTCTTCCTTCAGCATAATTGGAAGCTTCCATCTGGCATGCTTATTTCTGTCCTTTGAGAATTTGAAATTTTCTTTCCAGATGTTTCTATCTTCCCAATCCTATGCAAGGTGTCCCAGGCCTGACCTGCATGTTCCAGCCCTGAACTTCTGGTTGGCTGGCCTAGTTCTGTTTGAAGGGTCAATGAGATACTGGAGTGGGAGTGTGAGGCAACCCCAGACCTGGAGGGGGCGCATTCTTTAGTAAGCTTGGGATCCAGGCTGTGTCCTGGCCCAGGGAGACCACCCGGCATGACAGTTGCCCCAAGGTAGCAGAAGGTATAGAGAAGCATGTCTTCCAGCCAGATTAGAGGTTACAGCAAGAAGCCCCCAAAGATCAGCTGTGTTATTGCCCCTCAAGTAGACAGAAGGTCCAGGAGTCCCCAAACAAAGATGTGCTGGGTGGCATGATGACCAGAATTTTGTCAGGGATGCCCGACAGAGCATGCAGGACCTCACCGCTCTTCTCAGCAAGTGCCAGTCACACTGACAGGCTTTCTGAATACATACACACTTACACATAACCTCCATTGGCTCTCAAAAACCACCCCTGGCTGGGATCCATGTGATGCCAGCAGCTGAACCTGCAGTCAAATATGTGCATACAGTCAGAAGCCCCAGGGTTGAGGGAAGACAGACACGCTGAGCACACACATGCTGGGCCTTACCCAGGGGAGACTGACATGCACACAGGAAGCAGGCACAGACACATCCTTGAAGCTGCTCTGGCCTCAACTCTGCCTGTGCTGCCAGCTCGCTTTGCCTTTAGCCTATGTAGTCATTTAGCAACTGGGACTTGTAGAAAAAGGGCCATGCAAAATGTCATATGTCCCCACCTGTGCATTTTCTAGTTTTTTCCCCTCCTCTCCCCTCCCATTGCACTCACCTCCATTGTGGGGCATTTGATTATTATTACTGGGCATGGTTCCCTCTCAGGGTGACAAAGAATGAGGCTGTGTTGCCACAGCTATGATTATGGGCTCAGAAGACATGTGGAGAGCAGCAATCAGAGGCAAAGAAGAGGAGCTAGGTAGGGAGAGGCTGAATGGGCGGAGAACTGAGGACCAAGACACCTGGCAAACAATGTATATGGAATCAGCCAGCTCAGAAAGGAAGGCAGAGATACTTGGCAGAGTTATCTGCTGTGAGCCCAGGACTTCAGCAGAGGGAGTCCCTGAGACAGTCCTACCATGTAGCCTTGCCCAGAAATGGTCTCCATTGCCACCTGGACAAAAAAGGACTGCCATTTCTCCTCCTTGATGTTCTCAGCTATGCATGAATGATAGACGTGCTGGTGATCTAGTGCCATCAGAGGCCCTAGATCCCATGAAGAGTTGATCAAGCCTAAGCCGTATGGCTCTGGGCAGGGTGGGAAGTGGTCCATGTATGTCTGCATGGGCCAGGAGGACCCATGCAGTGTTGGGACTCCTTGGAGGGGCCAGGCCCAGGCTGGGGGTTATCACTGGCAAGTGTGATATCTTCCCATTTAAGCAAAGGTTCTGTCCCTCCTCAGATGCAACAAAACACCATGGGGGCTCCAGTATATCTCCCTCTTTTTGGCTTGTGTGTTCAAATCACACACAGCTAGCACGTCACAATACAGGAGTGTCAATGAATGTCGTCTTCAAGCATTTGCTCAAGAAGCCTTTTTCAAGAAAGCCTCCAGCAACTATAATAAGGTTAGACTCTGATATGGCAATGTAAACATCTCCCTCGCCTTTACTCTTCTAAGCTCTATCAGTGTTGTCTGGTCTATGGCCACCATCCTTGGAACTAGAAAACTGGTGTCCCTCTACCAGTACTCCAGGTAATCTTCAGTCTGTACAGCACTACTCTGACACCCCTAAACCCACTACTACAGCCACATTTAACCACCAGTCTCCAAACAGATACTTCAGACTTTCCAGGGTCCCAAGGACCAGAAAAGCCCAAAGAGCCAAAAGGCATAGTGCCCCTTCTTTGTTCTGGGCAGGATTGTTACACTTGCCCAAGGACACCTGTGGTCTGTGACTATGCTAGGCACCTTTGTCCAGTTATCACTTTCTGGATTTCTCCTGCTCCTGTGTCTGAATGTACAACAATTGAAGTCCCTATGTCTTCTCCTGGCTCTTTGCTATTTCTCTGATGGCAGGACCCATGACTGCCCAGGTCTCTGCCATCTTGTGGATCTCTGCTTATGTTCATCCCAGGTCTCTGTCTGGCTCTGTTCAGGTTTGGTGGCCCTTCCTCCATTCTCAGAGTAGTCTTGCTCCCTCTGCTCCCCACAGTCTCTTAGCCATCTCCCCCCAGAATTCTTTTATGGAACTGGGATGTGCTTACTCTCAGTGTGCCTGTGGTGGCCCTAGAGAGGCAAGAGTGGGGACTTTCTCACAGAGGTTACTGTTCTGCTACAGGGATGGACAGGAGAGACTGGGCTTTGGCAAGAGAGCATCTATCTCTGGAGGCCAGCATGTGGTAATACCATAGGAAAAACACCCCCAGGCATTCAGTTCATTCATAAAGAGTAGGTGCCTCCTCCACCCCCTGGAATGAATAGGCCCCTGGGAGAGCTGGGAATTGCACTGGGAGAATCTTGTTAGGTGTGATGGGGCCAAGGAGGTCCAGCAGTACTGGCTCCCTGCACTTTGGAGAGAGTAAGATAGTGGTTGACACCTGAGACAGTACCTCTGAGTCTCCTTTTCATACTGTAGATGCCTATGGGAACACACAGGCAGATGAAAGCAAACTCTCATAGTGGTTAAAACACTCAACGGCACCTTGTCTTTTGGAGACAGGAACGGACTAAGTAGCAGGGACTGGTGTTGAACTCACGATTATCCTTCCATTTCCTAAGTGCTGAGACTGCAGGCAGGTGCTCTTGGGCTGTGATAAAGACATACTTGGTGGTGGGTGAAGAGAAGCTAGAATAATACTGACTTCAGGTACAGCAGATGAGACTTTCCCTGTGTCACTGCACTGTGAGTTCCATGAAACTCTTTTGATGCTGTGTGCGTGATTAGAAATCTCACAGGAGGAGAAAGGAGAGCTGGGGAAGACGGCCCAGCAGGTAGGGACACTTGCTGTGCAAGTATGAGGACCTGAGTTTGGATTTTCAGCACCCATGTAAAAGATAGGTGTGGCAGGATGCGCCTGTAATCTTAGCATCACAGTGGTGGTAGGGTGGGGGAAGGCCAGAACGAGGGATCCTTGGAGATTTATGGACAGTTATCTTGAATGAAAAACACGAGCTTTGGGTTTACTGAAAGATACTGTCTCAAGGGAATAAAGTGTGTGACAACACACTATTCTGAAAATACCTCATAGTCTAAGAGATTGGAATTTTTGCTGGGCCTCATAGCCAGAGTTAATAATATGCCTTGATGTCACTTAGAACTTAAGACTGTTATTGTACTGTGTACTCGGCCTGTTTGTTTAATTTGCCTTAATTTTTTTTTGTTGTTGTTGTTGTTCAGAACAGGGCTTCTCTACGTGTAGCCCTAGCTGTCCTGAAACTCTAAACCAGGCTGCCTCAAACTCAGAGATCCACCTGTCTTCTGCCTCCCATGTGCAGGGATTAAAGCCTTGAGCCACCAAGCCGTACTTTAACTTGCCTTTAAGAGAGTATAACTGTCCTCTGAGAGGCTCCACCCATCAGCAGATTGAAACAGATGCTGAGACCCACAGCCAAACATTAGGCAGAACTCAGGGAGTCTTGTGGAAGAGCCGGAGGAAGGATAGAAGGACCTGGAGGGGACAGGAATGCCACAAGAAGACCAACAGAGTCAACAAACCTAGGCCCATGGAGGCTTACAGAGACTAAAGCACCAACCAAAGGGCATGCCTGGACTGAACCTAGACCCTGGACGCATATAAAGCTGACAGGGAGTTTGGTCTTCAAGTGTGTTCTCTAGCAAGTGGAACAGGAGCTGTCTCTGACATGGACTCTGCAGCCTGCTTTTAGATCACTTGCCTCTAGCTGCGCTGCCTTGTCTGACCTCAGTGGAAGAGGATGTGCTTAGGCCTGATGCTACTGAATGTGCTTGGATAGTTTGGCTCCTAAGGGGGTTCCCCTCTTCTGAGGAGAAGTGGGGGGGTGGGAGGGGGCTGCATTCGGGATGTAATGTGAACAAACAAATAAATTTAATTAATAATAAGATAAAAGAGAGAGAGAGAACAATGTAACAACCAACATTACCGGTGTTAGATTTCCCATGTAATCACCTTTTACAACTTAAGCTAATGTATAGCTCCAATCTTAAGTTCTGTACTCGCCCATGCCCCTGACCCAGATAATGCATGTGTCTTGTTTGCTAAAAACAGCAGATACAGAGGTGGAAAGCAATCTTCTGAACTCTATTACAGAGGTCCAGAGCATCCATTTATGGGTACTGTTTGATAATGGTGCTTGTCCTCTGGGTCAGTGGAGGTCAACTGGAGCCAGTGACTTAATCCCTTGTAAAACTCTGTTAAAGATATCTGTCAAGGATCCCGCTTCCTCCCCCATATGATGTGTTGTGTGCTGTTCAGTAAGGACAGAGCACAGACCTTTGTTAGGGTCAAACACACACATGCACACACACCCCAGACAGACACCACTTACAGACACAGACAGCCATGACACACACACAAAACAGAAGACACAGAGACAGACTCACAAGACAGCCTTCAGGCAGGGACAGATTCAGACTCATACAAAAGACAGATGGAAGACATGTGGACCATGAAGTAGAGAATTCTAATATGGACTCTCTCTCAGTTAAATGACTCCAAGGGTAATTTAAGACTTTGAATTCTTTCTTTCTT